CAGTTGGCAAAGGGGACACTGCAGGGACTGGGGTCGCAGAGGACACGAAGCCCCCATTGACCCTTGGCAGCAATCAAGGGTGGGAGCAGAGTTTGGGAATGGGCAGAGGAAGAGATCCAAGCTGGGCTTTGGGATCTGAACAAAACCTGCTTTTCCTAATGCTGTGAAATGCACTCAGTCCCAAAGATCAACAAACTCATTTAAATCAAAGCAGGCACAGGACAAGAGGCAGCACGACACCCACAGCACAGTGTGGAGGGGTCTGGGACCCTGCAGTGGAAGGCAGGGCTGAAATCTCTATTCATGACCACCCAGTTTCCCAAAACACTCCCAGTTTGGTATCCCAGTTCCTGCTGCTCTTGGCTGGCACCTGGACATCAGCCCTGGCAAAGGCCGGGAGCTTTAAACCCAACATTTCCAGCCCAGATTTGGACTTTTTCAGTGCACTCAGGTCACCTGTGCATCTCAAAACCCACAGAAAACCCTGCCAGCCACCAGCACCCACTGCAAAACCTGAGCCTGGCCCCAGAGCCCCACGGGAGCCCAACTGCTGGTCCCTGACACCACTGGCCACGGGTCCCCTCCCAGCAAAACACCCCAGGGAGCTGGTGGCAGTTTGGCTTCCAACAGAGCCAGGCAGAAGGAAGGCAAAAGCCCCACAGCTCAACTGGGAACAGCCTGTGCCTGCCAGCAGGAGTGTGTTGGTTGCTGCACGGACTGAACAGGTTGCTGCAGTCCATAAAACCATTCCTGCTCTGTGGAGCAGGAGCAGCCTGGAGCCAGGATGGCAGAGCAGCACCCTCAGAGTCCCCCTGCTCTTTGGAGGGGGGGGGACAGAGCCACAGCCAAGCATTGGAGGCTGGGGCTCAGGGGTATCCCAAAGGGCGATCCCAAAGGGATATTCCAAACCCCTCCGTGTGTTGGGAGTTTGTGGGTGATCACGCAATGGGCACACAGCAGCCTGTGCACAACCTAGAGAAGAGAGGACTGAAAAATCCCAAAAAGACCCTTCCTGCTCCCAGCCCAGAGCCCTCAGCCCAGCTGAGCAAACTCCCAGCTCTGCTCCCACGTGCTGAGGCTGCTCAGTCGAGGAGGCAGCAGCAGCTCCCTCACACCCGTTTTTGGACCACGTGAATCCCTGCTCTGCTGCCTTGCAGTGAGGATGAGGGGCTCCTCAGCTCTGCTGTGCCTGGCACCCAAAAGTATGTAGGATGCAGGGACCAGGCTGCCGGATGAGTGTCCCCCCTGTGCCCTACTCTCCTGTGAGGGTGAGTGGTTCATGCCCACCAGGTCCCTGCACCCATAGGTGCTCTCATCCTTCACACCACAGCAGGTCCCTGATCACCCCAAAGCTCCCCTGATCTCAGGGGATGGGGGAACACCAAACCACTCTCCCACCTTTGGGGCTGGGGGACTGTGCAGAGCCCACACTGTCCCTGAGCAGCCACCCGCTGCCCCCAGGACATGGACTCATGCCCACCGTGCCCCCCAGGCTGCGTTCCCACTGCTGCCCCTCCACAGACAGGCTCCTGCCCGGGGCAGACTTTGTGGGAGGCTCCACAGGTGCCAGGGGAAGGCAGGAGCTGGGCTGAGCGCCCAGACCCCCCGGCACGGGCTGTGACACCCCCCACCCTGTGCTGGCCTGGGAACAGCCTGGCTCCTCTTCTGAGAAGGTCTCCTTTCCCTTTCAAGTGGGCTGGTGAGCTTTGACTTGGTCTTTGCACAGGCTTCATGGCATCGCATGATAATCATGTTCTGTCACAGTGGGTGACCTGGACCTTGTCCTGTTTCCACACATTTAGAACCACCTGGCTAATGAAGTGGATATCGTTTTCTGGTCCATCTCTCTCACCCTGTTGCTCTTCCCCCTTCCTCCACACCCCGCTCCTCTGAGTGATGTCAGGAGCCTCTCTGCAACCGGCCTTTTCCCATCGTTGTCCGGCACAGCTCATTAACTCCTCTCAGCAGAAGAGCTCGGTCATTACGGCTCGGGGGGCCGTGGGTGCCCCGGGGGCTGGGAGCACATAGTTTCCCAGCACCCGCCTGGCGGGAGCATCAGCCTGAGCTTTCAGCAGGAGGTGACTGCGGCTGGGAACGCAGGGCAGCTGTACAGGGTGGGTTTTTTAAGTTGAGCACGCTCTGCTCTGCCCCTCAACGATCCAACGCCACTGGTTTGCATCCAGCCCACGCTGGCCATCAGCTCCTGGGGCTGGAGCAGCCTCACCTCCTGCTCCCCATCACTCCCAGCACCTGAGAGGCTCCAAGCACCAAACCAGCCGCTCATCCCCTCCCATCCCAGGCCATCCTGGAGCAACTGCCTCGACCAGGCCCAGGCCATCCCTTACTCACAGCCAAATCCTCCATCACCACGGAGGGGCCAGCAGCGTTTGCCCCAAGCACTGGCCGCAGCTCCCCCCGGCAGCGAAGCCATCGGTGCCAACCGTCACCACCGTGGCCAGCGCGGGGTCAGCCGCGGGCACAGCACTGGCATGGGGGACTTTGCTCCTGGCACTGCACGGCTGCGTCTCAGGCAGAGGAACCAGGTGCCAGGGCACCCCCATGGCCTTGCTGGGGCAGCCTCGTGCCCACCCTCTCACGGGCAGCGTGGGGGACACGGGAGCCAAAGGACCAGCGGGGATTTTCCCCATGAGCCACCACGGCGGGCGCAGCACCGTGACTCACACGGCACCAGCACCGGGGGATTTCTGCCACGGACACACTTATGCATTTCGGATCTGCCTCTTATTTTTTCCTTACTGTTTCATTTAACGCCTGAGCGCGTGCAGACACCGCCTCTGACCTCGCGGGCAGTGGGCAAGAGAGTTCCCACCAAAACAGGGCCATTAAACCCCCTCACGAAGATTTTTTTCTCCTCTGCCCCCACTTGCGCTGAGATTTTTGCATTCCCTGCCTGCCTCCGCCTCCCCCACACCGAGGTGACGTAATGTTTTGAAGCCTTCTCCCATCCCCACCTTTATTAAATATGACCCGCCGTTGATCCCCGCGCGGGCCGAAGGGAAGCTGTGGTTTCGGGAGGGATCAGACATGAAAG